ATAATGGACAGCCCTTCAACCAGTCTCTCCTTCATGTTTGATTTGAAAAGATCCGACAGGCATTCCTTTGAAGACTGCTTAGCCTTCTTGACCTCTTCTGAGCTCGGAGTATTCAGAAGCCGAAATGAGAATTCGATTGCGCGAACTCCATCCTGCTCCAACACCATTAGTCTCAGCAGCATTAATAAATTCCTCGAGACTAGTAAAATAAGATTCGAACTTATCTGTCGGTCCAGCTGGCTCGATATTGTTCAAAGGAGTAGTGACGTTTAGGACCCAAACCTTGGCTTTGATCATCGGAGTGTCGTTCACTACGAAATCCTCCACTACGATCATGAAGCTCTGTCAATGGAATGAACGAGTTGCTCTTCTCGCAGTGAAGTCGTGCCGTGAGTCTGCACATTTTCCAGATTTTTCCAGATGAGAATCGTGAAGACGGGGTGACGGATTATAAAAAATAGTTTCTACATCGCATCGCAGGGGCAACAATCCGCCACATGAATTAGTCTCGACACTGAAGTTTAAGGCGCTTTTCATTATCTCTCAAGGTCTCGACCTCTCTTACTGCCCAATCACAGTTTCATTAGTCTCGGCTCTCAAGTTACGACTACGTGCACGCGATCTTTCTCAAGGACGAAAGAAATAGGAAGCAATCTGTAAGTTCTAAGGTGACTAAGACAGGAATTCATAAGGGGGAAAAAGTAACAAACACAGACCCTGAACCTGAAACAAGCTCGGCATTAGGCCGATTTCAGGAACACGTTCCACGGCATATACACAACCATTAAGTGTCATGAACACCAATCCATTCATTTCACATGTTGAATCACTTGCTTGAGATCGTTCCTTTCAACACTTCATTGTACATCGATTGCTTTGTTTTGAATACATAACAATCTTTCTTTTTTTATTTGTTTTTCGCTCTCTCTCTCTCTCCTTTGTTTGAACATCACATTCGATACTTCAAGAAAATCCATTCAATGATAAATAAGAATTCTGTACTTTGTATTTCGTCTTAGAATTCGATTATAAGTTAAATAACCAATAAAGATTTAAAAATGTATATTTGAAACTAAATATAGATTATTTATTGTTTGTAAGAAAATCCAAAGGTTTATAGCTTGAAGATTCCCACGAATCCAAGGTGAGTGTGGATCGAAGAATATTAGCGTGGCGTCCAAGTAAGGGTTCGAAACCCTCTCTTAAAATAAAAGTAGCATCCTATAATGCTAGAATTTGATTAGAAAATTAAATGAATATATGAAAAATATGATTCTTATTAATAAATTGGTTGTCGTAATGCTAAAATTGATCTATGAAAGATACACTTTTGTAGTGGTTGTTTTACCCATCTAAATTCTTACACTAAGAAAACGCAAAGCATGAAGCAACCCTATAAGTCAAAATAACGAGGGAGTCGGATCGAGTGGATCAAAGGCCGGGGGCCTAATGGGCCTCAAGCGAGAGAGGTGAGTGGCCACGTATCATGAACCGAGGTCCTGTGCATGCATATTTTCCAAAACTATAGTTATTTTCCTTAGAATTATTTTCATCTTTCAAACCAGTATTATATTTGGGCAAGATAATTATACAAATCATTCTTAAACTTTGGCCTAATGTGCAATGTCGTCCCTGAACTTTTAATTTATTCAATGTGATCCATAAACTTTAGCCCAATGTGCAATGCCGTCCTTGAACTTTTAATTTATTGAAAATGTTCAATTTCGTCATTAGACTATACGAAAATATCCAATGTTTTTTTTTTGGCAAAAAAATATCCAATGTTATCCATCTATTAATTCAACTTCAAAGACAACATTGAACATTATCTTATATTCCATGAATTAATTTGGACATGTACCAAAATTTTATGAATCACATTGAATAAATTAAAATTTTAGATATGACATTGCACATTTGACCAAAGTTTATCGACCATTTGTGTAATTTTCCCTATATGGGCGAGAGGACGAAAATACTTCAGTCTATGAGAATACCACACATAACATGGCTCTGTCCAATTCAGAACTAAGCATGCATCATCAAATAAAATGTCATTTGCAAAATGTACGCACATATTTGTCACAATTAGGACTCATGCAGCTTTGCCACGTTGTTTGAATTTCAAAATAAGAACACACACAACATCAGGAGTCATGTCGGAGCGTAAAATGACGGAGGAATTTTACCCAATTACATCTTAGGTAAAATCAAAATTGCATTCATGATTCTAGGAATTTGTTTAAGCATTACATTTGAAAGACTTAATTGAAAAATATGGTATCAAAAGGGCATTGTGAGGATGCTAATTAACGCCTCCATAGACCTAACCGAATCCCAAACCACAATTCTTTGTTTCTCACTTATGACGAGTACCTTCACACGTGCACTTAGGTTTCCAATCAGTATAAATTTCCTCCAAAATGATTGGTGGCAACTCTATTTAATTTGTCATTTTCAAATCCCAAGTTTCTTCGATTTTCAGAACTCTTTTTAAAATTCTACTTTTTCCTTCGAGGCAGTGTCGCGGTTCGACTTTTCCCATTTCATGGACGCATGAAAGTAAACTCCACAATACCAAGAGAAGCATGAGGGATTCAATTTGAACGATACGACTGGATCATGGGAGTGGTGTCGGAGAGCTTGTTTTAGGAATTTACAAATGAAAAGAATATCATGTGGAATAGGGGTGAGCATGATTTTAGGGTAAAACCTGGAACCTGAGAATCGGATCGGTGGGAACCTATCTATTCTAGGTGAAAGTATGCAGGATAGGATCAATGTTTCAAAAATTGAGAAACCTATTTCGATGGGTAGGCTTTAAATTCTAAGTAGGTGGAACTTGGAACCTGGAACCTAGAACTTGTAATAAGTTTTTGTGTTTTTCTTGATCTATGTCTTCGCGTGATCCTGCGGTATTCCATGACGTCCGATGATGGGTGTATAATCTAGAACCACTAGTCTGAACATCCATTTTATGACTGAGACTTTTACTTTGTTAATATTTCATATTTTTCGTATATCTAAATATAAGTTGCGGTCAATGGATTGTAGCAGCGGGATAGTTATAAAGGGTGATGTTTAACTTCAATAGTTTAATTAATAATACAGGTGGAACCTGAGTAGACCTTATAATCGACCCTAAAACTTGTGACAGGATAGGTTCTAGGTTCCAAAATATGCATGGTAGGTTCCGGGTTCCGTGTGGAACCTGTACGGAACCCAGAACCGCTTATCCCTAACGTGGAAGATGTTCAAAGGCGGGGTTGGCCACTTGTGCACAAACTAGTTGGGAACGAATGTTGCTCTCTTGATGATGGCCCCGTAGCAAGTCGAAACTAATTATGTTGAATTGAGATGCATGCCTTGCTCGAGATGGTGAGATGCCCAAGTTGATGGGAGACATGGAACAATCAGTCACAATGAGGCATTCTACGATACAAGCCATGGGAACGATCCTTAAGAAGGAATGCTGGTTGGGTGAATCGACTTGCCAGGTATTGTACGATCCCATGGCCGAGGCTAATCGGCCCAGACTGTGACAAACTGTATTAAAGGAGGGTTGCTAAGCTATAGGTGCGGATGTAATCCCTTACCATGTTTTGAGCACGATCGGAAGAAGATATAGACGTTGTGTTCCTGTGGGGCAAGCATAAGCCATTCTTGTAAATCCTTGGGAGAGGGAGTGCGGGTGCGATACACGACGAAGCAACAATGAGTGACGCATTCTGTTCGGTGAGCATTGGCCATTCATGTACGACACATGGAGAGGCGTTGACGGTTAGGAGAATTCAAGGAAGCAACAAAATAGTCCGTAACAAGAGCGATGTTGAATTCAAGTGGGGGAGCACTTCGCGGTCCGACTTTCCCTTATTCCGTGAAAGCATGGAAGTAAACTTGGTAATACAAGGAGAAGCATAAGGCATGCGATATGAATGACCTAACTTGATCGTGGAAGTAGTGTCACAGAGTTTGTGTTAGGAATCAACTGACCATAGAAAATATCATGTGGATAATGTCCGAAGGTGAGATTTGCCACCCGTGCACAAAGCAACTTAGAGTTGATGCGGCTCTCCTGATGATGGCCACAATAGTCTCAAATCAGTTATTGTGTTGAATCGAGATGCATGTCCCTCTCTCAGGACACGAGACACCCAAGTTAAATGCATGACTTGATATGGTTGATCACAATGAGGCATTCCACAATACGAGCCCTTAGAAGGGAAGGTTTGGCTTGGTGAATCGGCTTGCTAGGCGCTGAAAGGTCCCATGACTGAGGCCAATGGCCCGGACCATGACAGCCGGCTCCAAGAGTGGAGGCACTACATATCCCTTCGTTTATTCAAATCATCTGGAATGCGATACTTGCTTATAATTGTTCCTTTCAAGTTTCCTTGAATATAGATTGTTTTGTTTTGAATTCATGAACAACCTTTCTTTTCTTTGTTTTTCTCTCCTTTGTTTGAACATCACAGTTCGATAGTTAAAAAAAATCCATTCAACGGTAAATAAGAATTTTATACTTTTGTATTTCATCTTTTTTCACTCCAAACTCAATTGCAAAGGGACAAATCCCCCACTTCGGATGGGGTAAACACTCCTAATACAAATCCCCAAGACTCTAATGAAATCTATAGACTCTGCCTCGTGAGATGTGACACGGGAACACCCTTATCACTAGAGCCACCCAATGCGGAGTCATATCAAGAAGGTTTTACGTGAAAAGGCAACTCGATCATCACATATTGATAGAATAACAGTCAGAAAAGCAAATCCGAATTGTGAGCATTTCCAAGCTCCAAGAGCAAAAAGCCTAATGACCACACAATACATATGAAGACATCAAACATTGACTCTATAGACACATGTATGTATTTGACACACATGCTGACTAAATTAACATGATATTGGATCAACCATATAAGCCCCTCTAAGACATTGTTCTGCTGAAAATTGGCCAGCCATAGTCAAGCTAAAACACAGTTTTCATACTATGAGTGAACAATTGCCTCATAGCCTATTTGAAACCGTAAAGTTTTAACAGAACTGAGCCTTCAAGTTCGACCAAGCAGTGGTTGATCTAGACATTCTTTCCTCGGCTATTCTTTTCTTTTCCTCAGCCTCTGCTACTTTTTTTTGCTCATCTTTATAGCCCGACTTCGCTTCTTCGAACTCGACCAGCAAGATTTCCCAGTCTGAGAGGAGCTTGTACCTCCTAGACTTCACTTCCACCATCTTTCTCTTGAGCTCTTCCTCTTCCTTGACGCAGTCATCCATTAACTGCGTATAAAAGATGCGAGTCTCGTGGCTCTTCTTCATAGCAGAGAACCTTTGATCCATCTGCAGTTTGTGCAGCTCAAACTCAGCATTGTCCTGCTCAAATGTTAGGAAGTCCGAAGTGAAATCATTGAAATTGGCCCGAAGTGTCTCAATTATTTTTTGTTGCTCCAACGATAATCCATTTCTGGCTGAGCTCAAAGTTGATAGTGCCTCAGAAAACCTCTCTTTCATATTCAATTTAAAGAGATCTGAAAGGCATTCCCACAAAGACTGCTCAGCCTTCTCAACTTCTTCTAAGCTAGGAATTTCAGCCGTCAAAGCACTATGTTGTATTGAACAAACACAACACCAGCACGTGAAGTAGTTTTGAAGTGGTCAAATTTCAGTTTTACATGTCTTCAATAATGTAGTAGTGGAGTCCTAGTTTGTAGGGGTTTGTTTCTACACGTTTTTAGTTAGTGGGATATGTTAGTGGGTCTTTGTTATTGTTATCATGTCGTTATTTTCTTGCTGAGTAGTTTTCAATGTTATGCCTATTCAATAGGCTTGTGATCTGTTGAGTAAAAGTACGAGAGTTTTTCAGCAGCAATTTTGTGTGTGTGTCCTCTTCTACTTTTTGCTCTCTTTAGAGGTTATTGAACCATACTTGCCGCTTGTTCTTTTTCAACAATCTGGTATCAGAGCCAGGTTCTGGGTATTTCGTGAGCATCTCTATTGCCAAGATGGGTGATCTTCAAGTCGTTGGCGGAATCAAGAAGCTCAGCAACCAAAACTACAATTCTTGGTCTACCTGCATGATGTCTTATATGCAGGGCCAGGATTTGTGGGAGGTTGTCAATGGAAACGATGTGAGACAACCGGAGGCTGAAGATGCGAATGGGACATTGCGGAAGTGGAAGATTAAAGCGGGCAAAGCCATGTTCGTTTTGAAGACGACAGGTTGAAGAGGATGTGCTGGAGCATATCCGAGATGCGGAAACTCCCAAAGAAGCTTGGGATACGTTTCGCCAAGCCGTTCTCTAAGAAGAACGATACGAAGCTCCAACTCTTAGAAAGTGAGTTGTTGTCGATGGCGCAACGCGACATGATGATCACTCAGTACTTCCACAAAGTGAAGACGTTATGCCGAGAGATTACTGAATTGGATCCGGAGGCTCCGATTGGCGATACCAGGATGAAGCAGATCATCATCCATGGTTTGAAGCCAGAATTCAGGAGTTTTGTTGCTGCCATACAAGGATGGCAAACTCAGCCCGTCGCTTGTCGAATTCGAAAATTTGCTAGCTGGTCAAGAAGCATTAGCCAAGCAAATGGGAGGAGTCTCGTGAAGAATGGAGAAGAGGCACTCTACGCCAACAAAGGCAAGTGGAATTCCAAGCGGCATGCCCACGGTGGATCCAAAAAGAACGATGACAAGGCGAGAAGTCATCAAGATGAAGGGAGCGTTCGTGCACGGAAAGGTTCTAAGAACCACGGCAATGGCCAAAAGTTTGAAGGGAAGTGCTACAACTGCAATAAAAAAGGTCATATGGCGAAAGATTGCTGGTAAAAAAAGAAGGCCATCGAGAGTAACGTGCTGCTACTTCAAAAAATGAAGACGAATGGGATGCTGAGGCTTTCTTTGTGTAGATAAGGAGGAGCTAGCCCTTATCGCAACAACATTCAATCAAATCGATTATGAGAATGATTGGATTGTTGACTCGGGCTGCTCAAACCATATGACCGGCGATAAAGAAAAGTTGCAGAACTTGTCGGAGTACAAGGGAAGTCGGGTGGTGGTGACGGCGAATAACTCAAAGTTACCGATAGCCCACATCGGTAATACGACCGTCTCTCCCCAATGTAGCGATGCCGAGGTGCCACTCCAAAACGTCTATCATGTTCCAGGTATGAGAAAAAATCTTCTCTCGGTAGCACAATTAACATCTTCTGGCCATTTTGTTCTGTTTGGTCCACAAGATGTGAAGATATATCGAGACCTTGAGATTACAGAAGAGCCAGTAATGAAGGGACGAAGAACGGAGTCTGTCTACGTAATGTCTGCGGAAACCGCATATGTAGACAAGACGAGAAGGAATGAGACGGCAAACTTATGGCACATGCGACTAAGTCACGTTAGCTATTCCAAGCTAGATGTGATGATGAAGAAGTCGATGTTGAAGGGACTTCCACAACTTGAAGTGAGAACAGACACTGTATGTGCAGGCTGTCAGTATGGAAAAGCGCACCAGTTGCCGTATGAAGAGTCTAAATTTAAAGCGAAGGAACCATTAGAGTTAATACACTCTGATGTGTTTGGACCAATTAAGCAAGCCTCCGTTGGTGGGATGAAGTATATGGTGACCTTCATTGACGACTTCTCGAGGTACGTGTGGGTTTACTTTATGAAGGAAAAATCTGAAACTCTTTCAAAATTCATAGAGTTCAAGAAGGTAGCGGAAGCGGAGGTTGGTAAAAGAGTTCGTTGTCTACGCACCGACAATGGGGGAGAGTACATCTCAAATGAGTTCACAGATTTCCTTCAGAAGTGCAGAATACGCCATCAGTTCACATGTGCTAGCACTCCGCAGCAAAACGGGGTGTCAGAAAGGAAAAACAGGCATCCTGGCAGAAGTATGTCGAAGTATGCTTCATTCAAAGAATGTTCCGGGACGGTTTTGGGCGGAAGCTATGAAGACTGCGGCCTTCGTGACCAATAGGCTTCCTCAACAAAGGTTATGCTTTTGTTCACCCTTTGAAAAAATATGGAACATGAAGCCTGCTGTTGGTTATTTTCGAGTTTTTGGATGCGTGTGCTATGTATTTGTACCTGACCAGTTACGTAGCAAGATGGAGAAAAAGGCTGTTAGGTGTATCTTTGTAGGATACGACAATCAAAGAAAAGGGTGGCGATGTTGCGATCCAACAACCGGGAAATGCTACACATCTCGGAATGTGGTGTTTGATGAAGCTTCCTCATGGTGGTCCTCGAACAAGGAAGTACTACCGGACTCGGATGTTTTTAAGGAAATGTTAGAAATTTCTCAATTCCAGTTGAGTTCAAGTGAAACAGAGGTTGCAGACGACGATGTAGATGTTGAAGAAGGCATAGCTCAAAATCCTTGGCAAACAGGTGTATACCAAAGGCCAAGCGAAGAAGATGAGCCAAGTGGAGCAAGTACACCAACTGCACTTAGAAGGTCAACAAGAGCCCGAAAGCCAAATCCTAAGTATGCTAATGCCGCCATAGTAGAAGAGGCAGATGCAAAAGAGCCTGAGACATTTGAGGAAGCGTCTCAGAGTTCGGAATGGATTAAGGCTATGGAAGAGGAAATTGCTGCGTTAGAGCGAAATCAGACTTGGGAGCTCATACCAAAGCCAAGAGATGTGAAGCCTATTTCTTGCAAATGGGTGTACAAGATAAAACGCCGCACAGATGGATCAATAGAGAGGCACAAAGCTCATCTGGTAGCTCGAGGGTTCTCTCAACAATATGGACTAGACTATGATGAAACATTTAGTCCAGTTGCGAAGTTTACAACTGTACGAGTTCTACTGGCACTTGCAGCAAGCAAAAGTTGGAACTTGTGGCAAATGGACGTGAAAAATGCATTTTTGCATGGGGAGCTAGATCGGGAGATCTACATGAGCCAACCAATGGGCTTTCAGAATCAAGATCATCCTGAGTATGTGTGTAAGCTCCGGAAGGCTCTCTATGGGCTAAAACAAGCACCGAGGGCTTGGTATGGTAAGATTGCTGAATTTCTTACTCATAGTGGTTATTCGGTGACATGTGCGGATTCTAGCTTGTTTGTCAAAGCTAAAGGAGGGAAGCTAGCTATTTTGTTGGTGTATGTGGATGATTTAATCATCATAGGAGATTAGGAAGAAGAAATTCTCCAAACCAAGGAGAATTTGTCGGTTAACTTCGTCAGATGAAAGAACTTGGACAGCTCAAACATTTTCTTGGTTTAGAGGTCGACTACACTCAGGAAGGAATATTTCTCCATCAGCAAAAGTATTCAAAAGATTTGTTGAAGAAATTTGCAATGCTTAGATGCAAGCCAATCTCGACACCGATGGAGGCAAACGTCAAAATGTGTGCTCATGAAGGGAAAGATTTAGAAGATGCTATCATGTATCGGCAGTTGGTGGGTAGTCTTATCTACTTAACTTTAACAAGACCGGATGTTTCTTTTGCAGTTGGTGTGATGAGTTGCTACATGCAAAATCCAAAGAAGACTCATTTGGAATCAGTTCGTCGAATCTTGAGATATGTGAAGAGCACGCTTGGCTATGGTATTATGTACAAGAAAGGTGGAGATTGTAGACTAGTTGGCTACTGTGATGCCGACTATGCAGGTGACCATGATTCCCGGCGTTCAACTACTGGGTATGTCTTCATGCTTGGGTCCGGAGCAATTTCTTGGTGTAGTAAAAGACAACCAACGGTGTCTTTGTCAACCACGGAAGCAGAATACCGAGCAGCAGCGATGGCAGCTCAAGAAAGCACTTGGCTTATGCAGTTATTGAAAGACTTGCATCAACCAACAGAGTATGGTGTCTCTTTGTACTGCGACAACTTGTCGGCAATACGTTTGGCGAAGAATCCAGTTTTTCACGCAAGAACTAAGCATGTGGAGGTGCATCATCATTTTATCAGAGAGAAAGTCTTGCAAGAAGAAATTGAGTTGGAGCATGTCAAAACAGAAAACCAAGTTGCAGATTTGTTTACAAAAAGCTTGAGTAGCAATAAGTTCGAAAGTTTCTATCATCAGCTCGGTATGGTGAAAAGAGTAGAAGCTGGTGTTGAGGGGGAGTATTGAACAAACACAACACCAGCACGTGAAGTAGTTTTGAAGTGGTCAAATTTCAGTTTTACATGTCTTCAATAATGTAGTAGTGGAGTCCTAGTTTGTAGGGGTTTGTTTCTACACGTTTTTAGTTAGTGGGATATGTTAGTGGGTCTTTGTTATTGTTATCATGTCGTTATTTTCTTGCTGAGTAGTTTTCAATGTTATGCCTATTCAATAGGCTTGTGATCTGTTGAGTAAAAGTACGAGAGTTTTTCAGCAGCAATTTTTTGTGTGTGTCCTCTTCTACTTTTTGCTCTCTTTAGAGGTTATTGAACCATACTTGCCGCTTGTTCCTTTTTTCAACATGTTGGTGGCACGAACTTGATCCTACACTAGCACCATTAATCTCAGCAGCATTGACAAGTTCCTCCAGACCAGTAAAATAGGAGTCAAACAAATCAGTTGGTCTAGCTGGCTGAATATTCACTGGAGGAGTAACTGTTAAGACCCAAACTTCGACTTTAATGACCAAAGTGTCATTTGCTAGGTATCCCCGAATACTATGATGAAGCTCAGTCAATGGAATGAACCTTGTGAATTCCCAGTCACCGTTTCTCAAAGTGAAATCATGTTGCGTTTCTGCAGAATTCAGGACACAAGGTGACGAATTCAAAATTTTCTTTACTACAACAGCAGAGCAAAATATGTGGAAGAAACATTGGAGACCATCAAGAACTAGAATGTTGTATTGTGTACGTCAAGCAAAATATTAGCAACAGAAGAAGCAAACACCTCCCCCATGATCAGCTTAAGAAACTAAATTCACACAAAAGTCGATTAACTGACAATGCACAAAATTTTTAAGACCACCAGACATAGCTATCTTATATTGTGGTTCCTCTCTTTCTTCTGGACCAACATTTGGATCATATAGGCACAGTCAAGCCCCAACTCCTCCATCCACTGGGCCAGTTGCTTACAAACTTAGCTTGCTAAATTCCTGAATCAGTAACCTCGGGATTATTCTACACTCATTTTAGAAGCTCACCCACCTTTGAGAGGCTTAACTAACGAAATACAGAAAACATATTCTCTCTCTCAGCTCTATATCTCTCTTTCTACTTCTTCTCACCTATTTTTTTTCTCTCTCTCAGATAACAACGATTTCTCATAATCTAGATGCACCATCAATAAGAGAAACACCTATCATACACTTAACTTAAAAACAAGAGGTTCCAAGAAAAATCAATCCAATTAAAGAATAAACCCTTTCTAACAGAGCGAGCATCATTCATTTGATTGGTGACACTCGAGCAAAACCTGGCGTTTCTGGACCACCCCTTCGACAACATCACAGAACAAGTGTTGGGAGCAGCCCAACATGTTCAGGAATTGATTTGTAAGATTCGATGATTGGTCATCAAGAATACCTAATAGGAAGGACTCCAATTATGATAGGACACTGAAAAGGATGAAGTCTAAATAATAAGAGTCTTATTTAGGAAGAATACCAAGATGGAATCAATTGTGGTGATTGCCAAATGAGATGAATTCCAATCGATCAGGGAGATTTCTAATTAGGAAGTGATTGCCAATCAATTAGGGAAGATTCCTAATTTTTGGTGGAGGTCTACCACTAGAAATAGAAGGCTTGGGTGGAGGTTTATTGTGTGCACCAAAAAACACTCAGGAGATATCACAAGAGTCTTCAACAATGTGTGTAAACACGATAGATTTTGAAAGTTCATCAAATGAGGATGTGTATGTGACAGTTGTGAGTATCTATTGTGAGAGAAACACTGTTACAATGTTAATTGTAATCCTTTGATTATAGTGGAGTAGCTTTTGTATTAGCGTCCCGTGGTTTTCCCATATTGGGTTTTTCACGTAAAACTTTTGGTGTATCGTTCTTATTGTCTCTTCTTTGCTGTGTTATTTACATTTTTCTGCAAAGAGAATATACGGCCGCATATTGCACAATTTTGATGGTTAGAATTCTACTGCGATCTATTGCAATCCGACTTAATTTACAACAAAGTGATATCAGAGTTGAGGTTGTAAAAGATGTCAAAAGACAAGGCCAACATGATCAAGCTCATGGCTATGAATTTTGCAGTATGGAGTTGAAAGATGGAGGATCATCTCTGTATCAAAGGCTTGCAAAGGCCAATTAAGACAAGAATGCCTCCAAAGGACATGGTAAAGATTGTGGCACTAGCTCCTAAATCAGCAACAGTTGGAGAGGGAGGAGAAGACTCCTCAAAAGCCCTGAAACTAACGGTAGAAGAAGAAGATGAAGAAGAAGAAGAGGAGGAGGATGAGTGGACTATCCTCAACGGAAGATGCGTTAGCACCATTAGAAAGTGACTCGATCAAAGCATACGCTTATGATTTGTGGAGAAATTGGAGCGGACATCGCGAGGAATACATCTCAAAACATAGCAAGCTTGATAAAGAAGGTGTCACGTATAAAGTACAAAGATGGAACAAGTGTCTCTGAACACATAGGCACTATGAGAGATTTGGTGAATCAAATCAATATAATTGAGAGGATGATCACTTCGAAATTGCATGCACACTTCCTGATAGGTTCTATGCCAAAAAGCTGGGACACCTTAATTTTGTCGATTCACAATTCCAAGCCTGAAGGAGCATTGTCCGTAGAGTTAGTGAAGGACAGATTGCTAAGTGATGAGAAAAGGCACAAGGATGAGGGGTACTACAACCATGGTGATAGAACTTTTGTTATCAATGAACAATAGAAGAAAGTAGATTGTGAGAGGAGCAAAAGCCGTGAACCTAAAGGTCATGCAACCTTAGGGCTAAGGGCTAAGAAGAGAGCTTGTTTTCAATGTGGAAAAACCGGCTATCTCATTAGAGACTGTCCATTGAAGGTACCCAACAAGCGAGTTGAAGCACCAGTTGCAAATGTGAATACAGTTTATGAAGACATAATGGTTATCCGCACTGATGTGAGAATCAACTTAACATGTCAGGACACCATTTGGTTAGTTGATTCTGCAGCCTCCTTTCACGTGGTCCCCAAGAGAGAATTTTTCTCTTCCGATATAGTTGGAGACTTCGGTCTCGTGAGAATGGGTAATGATGGTTCATTGAAGATTGTTGGCATAGGATGTGTTGAGATCGAGACCAACAATGGATGCAAGCTGATCTTAAAAGAGGTAAGGCATGTCCCTGATATTCACCTTAACTTGATCTCCGAAGAAAAACTAGATGATGATGGTTGTGTGAATCACTTCGGCGAAGGGTATTAGAAGTTAACCAAGGGCAGCTTGGTGGTAGCAAGAGGAGTGAAAGACATGTCGCTCTATATCATACAAGTGAAGTTATGTGGCAGAGATGTTAATGCACTGAGGGAGGTATCTACTGAGCTTTGGCACAAAAGGCTTGGACATAAGTGGAAACTAGTTGTTATGTTGTATCGAGGTGCAGGCCTTTGCTTGGGATGGTGAGGTGCCCAAGTTGATGGGAGACATTGAACGATCGGTCACAACGAGGCACTCCATGATACAAGACATGGGAGAGATCCCTCAAAAAGAAGGCTGGCCTGGCGAATTTGCTCGCCAAGTGCCGCACCATCCCTTGGCTGAGGCTAATCAACTCGGATCGTGACAAATGATATCAGAGCTGGATCCCCAAGTTACATGTGCATATGTCATCTATTACCATGTTTCGAGCATGATCAGTGGAGACAATATTTTCCTATTGGCGAGCGCAGGCCATTTGTATAAAGCCTAGAGAGAGGTAGTACTGGTGTGGTACACGAGGAAACGACAGCAAGTGACACATTTTGTTGGTCGAGCATTGGCCATTCAAGTAAAACATAAAGAGAGGCGGTGATGGTTAGGAGAATCCAAGAAAGCGATTGAATAGCTTGTAACAAGGGCGTTGTTCAGGAGAATGTTACAATCCAACTATTCCCCATTCCATGAAAAAGCATGGAAGTAAACTTTGTAATCCAGGTAGAAGCACGAAGGATGACATATGGATGACACGACTTGATCGTGGGAGCGGTGTTCGAGACTTTGTATTAGAAATCTAGCGATGAAATGAATATCATGCGAAAAAATGTCCAAAGGAGGGGCTAGCCACCCGTACATAAACTGGTCTGGAGTTTATACCACTCTCTGATGATGGCCACGCCAAACCGAAACCAATTGTTATGTTGAATCGAGATGCATCCTTCGCTCGGGACATGAGATGCCTGAGTTAAAAGGGAGATGTGGTATGGTCAATCACAATGAAGCATTCCATAATTCAAGCTGTGGGAATGATCCTTAGAAGCGAATGATGGCTTGAAGAATTGGCTCGCCAGGTACCGCACGGTCCCAATACCAATAGGCCCACACCATGACACTCGGCTCCGAAGGGGAGGCACTACCTATCTCTCCACTTATTCGAATCCTCTGGAATTGGATTTCACCTACTGATTCACTTGCTTGAAATCGTTCCTTTGATGACTTCCTTGTATATTAATTGTTTTGTTTTGAATTCATAAACAATCTTCTGTTCTTTGTTTTTCTCTCTCTCTTTGTTTGAATATCACATTCCATACTTTAAAAAAAATAAAATCCATTCATGCTAGATAAGAATTTTCTACTTTTCAATTTCATCTTAGCATTCAAATATAACTTAAATAAGAAATAAAGATTTAATAATTCATATCTGATTTTAAATGCATCTTATTTATTGCTTATGGAGTCTTATTTCCCACTTTCAAATCCTCATACGATCCCACTTTCAAATCCTCATAAGATGAAAGATCTGATCACTCAGAGAGAGTTGAACCGTGGTTGTTAAAGAAAATTCTTACCTAGTAAGGGCTTCCAAATGATCCCAAAAGTCTTATGTGAGAATATTGTAACATTATTTACTCATTCTCTGAAACTTTCAACACGATCCTTCCATTATAATTGCCCAGAAAAATCATTCAAAGCATCTATTTTTCCTAGTTGTACAATTTTACAAGAAAGTTTTTATCCGCCTTGCAAGTCCTCCGCAGCATAATAGTTCATCCAAATTAGACTCCATATGGGAACTTTTTCCCAAACAAGACTATCAAAAAGTTGTCTATCATTTAGACTGAATGTCACAAGTTGTTTTTCTTTTACAACTTAGGTTGTCGTCATTTATGGTTCTTGTCGAGTGCCACTGTTACATGTCCTATGATTTTACATTGGGTATGAATATATGACTACCTCTAGCTTGGACACAGAAGTGTTATACTTCGGACAAAAACTCCAAGAATAAAAGGTCCCAAAATGAAATGAGCAAGCTACGGATATAACATTATGTTCTAGTTCTCTCAACCAAAACGAAAAATGTCTTTCATTGCCATTTGTTTAGGCAAATTGAAAGCATCAGTTATTTTTCTTCTGTAAATATCAATAACCTGCCCAACACTAGAGCCACTTGTTTGTGGTTCTCTCGTTGTAAGAACACTCGTTACCATTAGACAGTATCCTTGTTTTTTTCATTCCAAACTCAATTGCAAGGGAACAACTCCCTTACTTAGGACAGTATAAACACTCCTAATACAAATAAAGACTACAATGAAATGCATATAGGCTCTGCCTCTTGAGATGTGGAGACAGGAACACCCTCATCACTAGAGCCACTCAATGCGGAGTCATATCAAGAAGGCTATACGTGGAGGAACAACTTGATCATCACATATTGACAGAACAACAATAAGGAAAGTGCATCAGAATTGTGAGAAATTCCAAACTCCTAGAGCAAAAAATGCGAAGACCACACAATTGATATGAAGACATCAAAACTGACTCTAAAATAACTTGATCGTCACATATTGACAGAACAACAATAAGGAAAGTGCATCAGAATTGTGAGAATTTCGAAACTCCAAGAGCAAAAAATGCGAAGACCCCACAATTGATATGAAGACATCAAAACTGACTCTAAAATAACATGATATAGGATCAATTACATGAGCCACTCTAAGTGATTGTTCTGCCAAAAATTGGCCACAAATAGTCAAGCTAAAACTCAGTTTTTATACTTTAACAATTGGCTCATAGCATATTTGAAACCTTAAAGTTTTAACAGGACCGAGCCTTCAAATTCGACCAAGCAGTGGTTGATCTGGACATTCTTTCCTCGGCTATTCCCTTCTTTTCCTCAGCCTCTGCTACTTTCTTCTGCTCATCTTTATAGCCCGACTTTGCTTCTTCAGACTCGACCAGCAAGATCTCCCAGTCTGAGATAAGCTTGTCCCTCCTAGACTTCATTTCCTCCATCTTTCTCTTGAGCTCTTCCTCTTCCTTGACGAGATCATCCATTAACTGCTTATACAAGATGTGAGTCTCACGGCACTTCTTCATAGCAGACAACCTTTGATCCTTTTGTAGTTTATGCGGCTCAAACTCAGCACTGGTCTGCTCAAATGTTAAAAAGTCCAAAGTGAAATCATTGAAATTGGCCCGAAATGTCCTCATCGCTATTTGTTGCTCTGAAGATAATCCAGTTCTGGCTGAGCTTAAAATTGATAGTGCCTCAAATAGCCTCTCTTTCATATATAATTCAAAGAGATGTGAAAGGCATTCCTTCAAGGACTGCACAGCCTTCTCAACTTCTTCTAAGCTAGAAATTTCAGCCCTCAAGGCACCATCTTGGTGGCACGAACTTGATCCTTTGCTAGCACCATTAGATTCAGCAGCACTGATGACTTCCTCCAAACCAGTAAAATAGGAGTCAAAGTTATCAGTCGGTCTAGCTGGCTGAATATTCACTGGAGGAGTAACTGTCAAGATGCAAACAACGGCTGCCCAGGATCATCATTCAAAGCATCTACTTTTCCTAGTTGTACAATTTTACAAGAAAGTTCAGATATCCCTTGCAAGTCATCCGCACTATAAAAGTTCATTCCAAATGGACTCCATGTGTGAACTTTTACCCAAACAAGACTGTCAAAAAGTTATCTTCTCATTTAGACGGAATATCACAACAAGAAGTTTTTCTTTTACGACATTCTGTTGTCATCATATAAAGGCGCTTGTCGGATGCCTCTGTTACGAGTACTATGATCTTACATTGGGTATGAATTTATTACTCGAGTCTACCGCTAGCATGGACACAAAAGTTTACTTTGGACAAAAACTGTAGGAATAATAGGCCCCATAGAACAAGATCGTGTTGTAGGTAAGAGCTCTAGATTGCATTTGATTATGCAGTTCCAAACCCCACGATTTGTGTTGTGCCTAAAAACACCAAAATGAAAAACCATAGATCAGCTAAGGACATGATGAAAATCCATGTAGCTGAAAGCCCTTTTCCAGATAACGAGTATAACATTATGCTTTAGTTCTCACAACCAAAACCAAAAATCCCGTTCATTGTTGTTCGTTTGGACAATTTGAAACCATCAGTTATTTTTCCCCTGTAATTACCGATAACCTCCCCAACACCAGAGCCACTTAATAACACTCCTAACCATTAGACAATATCCTTGTTTTTTTTCATTCCAAACTCAATTGCAAGGGGCCAAATCCCTTACTAGTACAGGGTAAACTCTCCTAATACATATCTCCAAGACTAATGAGATCCGCAGGCTGTCTCAAGAGATGTGGATACAGGAACACCTGTATCACTAGAGCTGCCCAATCTGGAGTCATATCAAGAAGCTTTTACGTGAAGGAACTACTCGATTATCACTTATAGACAGATTCCGTCAGGAAAGCACATCAAATTTGTGATAATTGCAAGCTCCAAGATCACAAAGCACGATGACAACGCAATTCATATGAAGACATACAAAACTGACTCTAGAGACATACTTAAGTGTATATATTTGACCCACATGCTGATTAAACTAACAGAAGATCAACGACATATGCCCCTTAAAGCCATTGTTCTGCTGAAAAGTGGCCAAAAACTAGTCAAGCTAAAACATAGTTTTCATACTAAGCGAACAATTGCCTCATAGCCTATCTAAAACCTTTATAACAGACGAGCCTTCAAATTTAACCAAGCAGTGGTTGATCTAGACATTCTTTCCTCGGCTATACTCTTCTTTTCCATAGCCTCTGCTTCTTTCTTCTGCTTATCTTGATAGCTCGACCTTGCTTCTTCAGACTCGACCAGCAAGATCTCCCAGTCTGAGAGAAGCTTGTCCCTTCTAGACTTCACTTCCGCCATCTTTCTCTTGAGCTCTTCCTCCTCCTTGATGAGATTATCCATTAACTGCTTATAAAGGATGCAAGTCTCATGGCACTTCTTCATAGCGGAGAACCTTTGATCCTTTTGTAGCTTATGCAGCTCAAACACCGCATTTTCCTGCTCAAATGCTATGAAGTCAGAAGTGAAATCAATGAAATTGGCTTGAAATGTCTCAATTGCTAGTTGTTGCTCCGACGATGATCCAGTTCTGACTGAGCTTAAGGTTGATAGTGCCTCAGATAGCCTCTCTTTCATATTCAATTTAAAGAGATTCGAAAGGCATTCCTTCATAGACTGCTTAGCCTTCTCAACTTCTTCTAAGCTACGAATTTCAGCCGTCAAAGCACCATCTTGGTGGCACGTATTTGATCCTACACTAACACCATTAGTCTCAACAGCATTGATGAGTTCCTCCGGCCAAGTAAAATAGGAGTCATAGTTATCGATTGGTCTAGCTGGCTGAATATTCACCGGAGGAGTAACTGTTTAAGATGCAAACTTCGGCCTTAATCACCAAAATGTCATTTGCTAGGTATCCCGCAGTACGATTATGGAGCTCAGTCAATGGAATAAAACTTGAGTGACCCCAGTGACTATTGCTCGCAGTGAAATAATGTTGCCACTCTGCAGAATTCAGGAGATAAGGTGACAAATTCAAAAACTTCTTTACAACACCAGAGCATGGTATGTGGGAGAGATATTGGAGACCATCAAGAACTAGAATTTTGTATCGTACGTCAAGCAAAACATTAGCAACAGAAGAAGCAAACACCTCCCCGGTATCAGCTTAAGCAACCAAATTCATACAAAAGTGGATAAACTGAAACCGCACAACATTTTTAAGACCACCAGATGTAACTATCTTAAACTTAAACTGTGGCTCCTCTCTTTTTTCTCGACAAACATTTGGATCAGATAGGCGCATTCAAGCTCCCACCGCTCCATCCCTGGTCCAGTTGCTTAGTGCCTTAAGCTAAATTCCTTAATCAGTAATGTTGTTGCGCATGTCAGAGGATCACCTTGATATCCCTCATTCTACTTCTTCTCACCTACTTTTTTTCTCATCTAAATTCCTCTTCTTCAAGTCATAACACCAATTTCTCAAAAATGCAGCACAATCAATCAGAGCAAAACCTATCATACACTTAAGACCCGTTCGTTTTCAGAAATTTGTTTTCAAAATCATTCATATCCCGCGAAACAATCGCCACAATTAGTTTTAAAACAATCCAAGAACAAACCCTTTCTAATAGAGCGAACATAGTCGATTTGATCGATCACGCTCAAGCTGAACACGGCGTGTGCGGTCCACCAGTTGGGCAGCGTCGCAGAATCAGGGATCTCGAGGTACAGCGACAAATTGTTCGTGGCATCCCCCTTCTCCTGCTCAAAAAGGATGGGCCGACGCAAGAATCACTAGGCAACACCATGAACATGCGATCATCGAGAAACAACACAAAAATAGGAAAAATAAAGAAAAGAAAACGACGTTGGAGTACCATCTACAGCCAGAAACTGTGAATGCTTCGGAGTAACGCTTCTTCGCATTCTGCCCACTGAAGTTGCTGATTTCCCACGTGAATTCCCCCTGATTTTGTGCGTCCGTTCTTCTCTCATTTGGCTGCTGCTTCTGCACGATCAACTCTCGCGAACAACACGGGTGTTTCCTCTTCATTGCTGCTTGAGTCTAGTGGTTTTGATTCTTCGACTACAAAGTGATGGCATGGTGGCAGTCTCGGGGTTTTATTGGAGGAGGAATGGGGGAATGGCATGCAGACGTGTCAAAAGGGTAGGCCGGGATAAAATGGTTCAATCCAAATTGACCCATTTAAGCCGTTTGGACCAATTATCATATAATATAAATTTAGTGACCCAAACTCGACTCAATTCATATCCAACCTAACCCGTATTACTAAAACATTTCTATATTCAACTAAATTTAGGAAAATTTATATTCAAACTGAGGTGAAAGTATAAAGCGAGCGAATGCGAGATCAAGTGAGAACGAGAGAGAGTGAGGAGAGAATCACAAAGGTGAGTTGGGTCTAAATAAATTGTTAACCCATTTAATTATTTTGACTTTATCATTCTAAATTTATTTATGACCCATTTACTAGATAACTAACATATATATTAACTTAGCCTATCTAATATGATTTAAGAAATGAATCTATAATTCATTTTGACAGGTACAATGGCTATCGTTCACACTTTTGGTTGGCACATTGAAAGCCAATGTGTTGTAACCTCCCATCCTCACAAGTTCCGTTCAAGGATGGTATTCTCTAACACAACCTCTATGTGACCTGTTTAGACATGATCAATCGATAAACTATTATTTCGGAGTTCTTCATTGTTAAGATTTTGAATTGATGATATTTCATCGGTTGTAACCATGTTTTTCTAATTTATTTTGATGATATTTTATTGATGGTATATTGCAATTTGGAAATAAATTTTATACAAAATTTGAGGATATTATGTGTCACGTCAGTATTGGTGGGTTGATTTCACGTTTGGTCAATTTCGTGTCATAACGCGCCATGTAATTATATTGACTCATCAACCCGACTATAGTTTTATTACACGAGTCGTCTCGTGTTAATCCAGTAATTTTCGGGTCATGTTGTTGTCCAGTAGAAAACACAATTAATTAATTGTATTGTGTTCGAGTTGGCTTATTTTGTAGGATACCTAATGTCGAGACACGAACACAATTTGCCACCATGGTTCCTATTAGCATTCCTTTTCCACTTGCTTTTTAAAACTTTTTGTAAAAGCTTCTTGGGCATTCCCGATGTTTAGGTATTTGGGCAATGAATATCAGTGTTTCATCAGTTGCTTCAGCATTAGGAGATCATTCTGGCGTGAGGGGCACTTATCAAAGGGTCAAGCAACTGTTGTATTGGCCAAGGATGAAACATGATGTGGTGAAATAAGTTAAAGCTTGTAATGTGGGCAAAAGGAATGAGGGGGAACAAACTCATAACCTTGGACACTTTGCAATCACTGGACATTCCTGCTCAGGCCGGGACTCATGTTCCTACGGATTTCGTTGAACCCTTTGCCAAAATCTGATGGGAAGGAGACTCTGTTTGTGGTGGTGGACCACTCGCCGAATATGCCCCCTTTATGGCCACGTCTCATCCTTTCACAGCACTAGAAGTGGCCAAGTTGTTCTTTGGCAATGTTTAAATGTTGCATGGCTAACCCTAAGCATTATAAGTGATAGAGACAAGATGTTTACCAGTTCAGTTTGTTCGATAAAACTTCAAGCTGATGGGAAGACAGCATCGACAGGAGAGAACTCTAGTCAGATAGGCAAATCGAGACACTCAACCAATGTTTGCTAGGAGTTAATTGACGTGTATGGGTTTTGCTTAACAAAACAGATGGGCTCGATGGTTATCCTACAACACCACTTTTTGCACTAGCATCCACACGAAGCTTCTTTGCCAGCAACAACTCACTTCATTATTCATTACATGTGGCTCATTGGACATAAGTAAGTAGTGCAATCTCACCCTTGAAAGATCTACAAGGTCGTCCTCAAATTTTACCTATGAATTTATAAGGAGGGAAACCAACCTGGTGTTCAGCTGCTAATCCAATGGTCTAACGCATGGGGGGATGATGATTATATCGATCAACAATTTCCATTCAAGGAGAGGGGAGTTGTAACAGAGTCAACGGTTGGAATGATGGGTTGACGGGCTCCGTGGAGAGATATTTATATCCGATGAAGGAGACGTTGGGCATCAATTGCTTGCCAAGGATTGAGGAGGCCCATTGGCATTACAGTTCCTGCAATCGCTATTTCCGTTGTATGGAAAATCTCATTTGATCGAAAATTACTGATGTAGACGACGGTCATCATACGTGACACGGCTGCGCTGATGTAAACAATTTTTGTAATATAAAAAAATAAAATTTTCAATTATTTATTTTATTTATTCTTTTCGTCTTCTTTTTTCTTACTTTTCTTTTTCCTTCTTCCTCCACCGATCGTCGAGATCTGGCAAGCTCAAGTCTCGCCAACCTCGGGAAGGCTCGACCTCGCCATGTCCCAACGAGCTCGAGCCTTGCCCGAGGTTGGCCCGCACTGGTGGTCAGTGGCTAGCCGTCATTGAGACTTGGCAACCGGCAAAGGAAGAAAGAAAAAGAAAAAGAAAGCAAAGAAAATAAAATAAAATAATATTTAAAAATTCAATTTTTTTGAAAATTTTGGCCTCGATGGATTCGGGCTTGGCCTCGATATTAGCAAGCCTGACATCCTGGGCACGAGAATTAGTGTCCAGAGCCCGACCTCGATGGACCCAAGCGCGGTGGCCGGGTCTTGGGCATGGCCTAGATAAACTTGGGCCAGGGTGCTGGATTCCTGAGCTCGGCCTAGAATGAGCCGGGCCAAGGCGTCGAGGACTCAACCTCGCCGCTAAGGGCATGAGAATGAGCGTTGGGGTTCCCTTGCCCAAGCGCAGAAATTTTTGTCTAAGCGTCAAAACCTAGTCATTTTTGGAAAATGATTTCAGATTTTTGAAAGAGGGAATCTTTTTCTAGAATTTAAGTTTTGGTAGGAAAATTTTTTCTATTGACTAGGAAAATATTTTTCTTTGTGATCCAAACGCTGGAAAATGAGAAAAATGTTTAAAAAAAAAATGTTTTCCGCGAAACAAACAAAATTTAATTCCTCTATCTTTTCTGAAACGAAATTTTCTTTTTCAGCTTTTGTGGTATATTTTAAAAGAAAATGTCAATATATTTATGTGGAAATCTGAAAACGTGGGCGCGCTTGGACTCGGGGTATTTTACCTCAGCTAAGGTGATAGACGTGAATTCTTTTTCTAGCAATATACGTTATTATCCTATAACAAGGATGTATCACTTGATCTTCTGATTCTTAATTTTATCGCGAACCAACATGATCTATTTCCACCTTACCACAAAAAAACATGATCTATTTCCAGGATAGATGAGCATGATGACGTAGAAGATATCATTGTGTTTTACGTGAAGGCACAACTCGAAAGGGTAAACTCGCCTAATACAATCCCCATGACTAATGAAATCCATAAGCTCTGCCTCGTGAGATGTGTATAGACGAACACCCTTTATCACTAGAGCCACCCGATACGGGGTCATATCAAGAAGGTCTTACATGAAGGAACAACTCGATAATCATATATTGACAAAATAACAGTCGGGAACTGCATCAGAATTGTGAGAGTTTACAAGTTCCAGAGCAAAATGCGCAATGACCACGCCATTGGTATAAAGACATCAAATACTGACCCTAGAGACATACATATGTATGTATTTATTAGACCCACATGCTGACTAAACTAACATTATGTGGGATCAACCACATAAGCCCTTCCAGGCAATTCTTCTGCGGAAAATTGGCTGAAAAATAGTCAAGCTAAAACACAGTTTTCATACTAGTGAACAATTGCCTCATAACCCCATTTGAAACCTTAAAGTTTAACAAAATCGAGCTTTCAAATTTGACCAAGCAGTGATTGATCTAGACATTCTTTCCTCAGCTAATCTCTTCTTCTCCTCAGCCTCTGCTGCTTTCTTCTGCTCATCTTTATAGCCCCACTCCGCTTCTTCGGACTCGACCAGCAAGTTCTCCCAGTTGGAGAGGAGCTTGTCCCTCCTAGACTTCACTTCCTCCATCTTTCTCTTGATCTCTTCCTCTTCCTTGGCGAGGTCATCCATTAACTGCTTATACAAGATGTGAGTCTCGTGGCTCTTCTTCATAGCAGAAAACCTTTGATCCCTTTGTAGTTTATGCAGCTCAAACTCAGCATTGTCCTGCTCAAATGTTAAGAAGTCGGAAGTGAAATCATTGAAATTGGCCCGAAATGTCTCAACTGCTTTTTTTTGCTTTGAAGTTAATCCAGTTCTGGCTGAACTTAAAGTTGATAATGCCTCAGATAGCCTCTCTTTCATATTCAATTTAAAGAGATCCAAAAGGCATTCCTTCAAGGACTGCATAGCCTTCTCAACTTCTTCTAAGCTAGGAATTTCAGCCCTCAAGGCACCATCTTGGTGGCACAAACTTGATCCTGCACTAACACCATCAGTCCCAGCAGCGTTGATGAGTTCCTCCAGACCAGTAAAATAGGAGTCAAAATTATGAGTTGGTCTAGCTAGCTGATTCACCGGAGGAGTAACTTTTAAGACGGAAACTTCGGCTTTAACCACCAAAGTGTCATTTGCTAGGTATCCCCAAGTAGGATCACGAAGCTTAGTCAATGGAATGAAATTTTTGTAACCCCAGTCAGTCTGTCTCGCAGTGAAAACATATTGCCTCCCTGCAGTATTCAGGAGACGGTAACAAATTCAAAAACTTCCTTCCTGCAACAGCAGAGCATGATATGTGGAAAAAACATTGGAGACACATCAAGAACTAGAATGTTGTATTGTACGTCAAGCAAAATATTAGCAACAGTAGTAGCAAACAGCTCCCTTGATCAGCTTAAGCTTCCTAATTCAAACATTTATCGATAAACTAACAATGCACAACATTTTTAAGACCACCAGATGTAACTATCTTAAACTTAAATTGTGGCTCCTCTCTTTTTTCTTTTACCAACATTCGGATCACATAGGCGCAGTCAAATTCCAACTTTTCCATCCACTGGACCAGTTGATTACAAACTTAACTAGCTAAATTCCTTAACCAGCAACCTCAGGATTGTTCAGATAACTCTTGCAATCGTTGGCCATCATGATAAGGAAGATCATGAGCGTGAAGGTCAATTTTGACGATGTAGGATTATGAGTTGCCTCTGATTTACTCCTCTTGCCCAAGGTTCGGAGGTAGGGGATCCCATATCCTCATCATCTGATCCACCAGCCATCATGAGATTTGCTGAAAGTGGTTTTCTAGGGGATGCACAATCAACTAGAGAGAAGCCTATCATGCACTTACGATGAAAAACAAGAGATTCCAAGAAAAATCAATCCAATTCGAGAACATACCATATCTAATAGTGCGAACATTATCGATTTGATCGATCACACTCAAGCTGAACTCGGCGTTTCTGGACCACCCTTTCGGCAACGTCGCAGAATCAGGGACATCGACGTACAACGACAAATGGTTCGTGCCATTCCCCTTGGGGAATACCACAATTCTCCTGCACAAAAAAGGATGGGACGACGCAAGAATCACTTGGCAAGACGATGAACGTGAGATCATCAAGAAAAAACGCAAAAGAGAGAGAGAGAGAGAGAGAAAATAACCAAAAAAAATGTTGAAGTACCATTTACAACCAGAAACCATGAATACTTCAGAACAAACCCTACTCGCTTTCTGCTCGGTGAAGTTGCAGATTTTCCACGTGAATTCTCCCCAATTACCATCATTTTGTGCATCCATTTTTTTTAAAAAAACTTTTAGCTGCTGCTTCTGCAGATCAAGTTTCGTACACACAGATGTTTCTTCGTAGCCGACGCTCTGATTGCGAAGAAGGTGGAGGAGAGAAGAGACAACGCAGCAGGAGAACGGGAAAATATGAAGAGTGTCGAACGTTGTTGACTCTTTGACTTCAGGGTGATGGTATGATGGCAGGTTTGGATTTTGCCTAATAGGGCTCAGGCCTATTTAGTGTCGCCAAACACGATTAATTATCGCGTCGTGTTTGTCTCCAACTCATTAGGCATGATAACCTATTTATTATTAATCATGTACGTGACTCGTTTAAACACGATTAATTAAAAAACTAATTTTCTTTCATACTCTTCAGTATTAAGATTTTAGGGTTAATACCGTGAAAAATCCTAAACTGGTACACCTGCGACAAATTTATCCCAAACTATTTTTTTTATCACAAAAAATCCCAAATTGGTACATTTGTGACAATTTTACCCTGAACTATTTTTTAACCACCAAAAACCCCACACTGGTACACTTGTGACAATTTTACTCCGAACTAATTTTTTGACCACCAAAAACCCCACACTGGTACACTTGTGACAATTTTACCCCGAACTAATTTTTTGACCACCAAAAACCCCAAACTGATACACTTGTGACAAATTTACCCTCCGTTAGTTTCCATTAAATTTTACTGTTAAATTGTTAAGTTTGATGATACGTGGTAGTTGACGAGTGTACCAGTTTGGGGTATTACTTTCTGTTTGTCATAAGTTTACTAATTTGTGATTTTTTGTGATATCAATCCAATTTAACGGACATTAACAGAGGGTAAATTTATCACAAATGTACCAGTTTTGAGTTTTTAGTGGTCAAAGAATTAATTTGGGGTAAAATTGTCACAAATGTATCGATTTGGGGTTTTTGGTGGTCAAAAAATTAGTTCGGGGTAAAATTGTTACAATTGTACCAGTGTAGAATTTTTAGTAGTCAAAAAAATAGTTCGGTGTAAATTTATCACATGTGCGCCAGTTTAGGGTTTTTGGTGGTCAAAAAATTAGTTCTTGGTAAAATTATTACAAGTGTACCAGTTTGGGGTTTTCGTGATATTAACCCAAGATTTTAAATTGATTATATTCAATTGACTATGACTCTGTTTTTTTAATTTGATTTGATGATATTTTGTTGGTCGATTATTGCAATCTGTAAATAGATTTAATGAAAAATTCAGAATATTTCGTGTCGCATTCATATTGGTGCCATGTCAACAAGTTAATTTTTGGGTTGTGTTTGTGTCAAGTAGATCGACACGATTAACAAATCGTATAGTGTTTGAGTTGACATTTTTTGTAGTATACATGTTGACACGACACGAACACAACCCTCGAACATGAATTGCCACCCCTAGTTTTCTTAGCATTTCTTTTCCACTTTTTTTTTGTGTGAAATTTCTATGGCATTCCCTTTGTTTAGGTATTTAAACAATGGACATTAGTGCTTTATTAGCAAAATATTCATATGCTTCAACATCAGGAGGTCATTTTGGTGTGAGGGGCACTAATTAAAGGGGTTAACGACTGTTCCATTGGCCAAGGAGGGACAGTGAAATATGTTATAGCCTATAATGTGTGTCTAATGAATATGGGACACCTGAATTTTTGTCGACAAGTCAAACTTATAAAATTCGAAGTTTGAGAATCATGATTGCGATCAAACTCGATCCTCGACCAAAAAAGTAGTTAAATAAACATCTATAGCATTCCGTTTGCATATAGAAATTAGGTTCACTGCATTTCATTAATAATCGAGCACCATTTCATCTTTTAGCAACCAAAAAAAAAATTGAGCACCATTTCATCAATAAATCAAGAGTTGGCTTTTTAGTCAAATCAAGAAAGTCGATCCTAAGTAAAAAATTGACAAATCGTGACATTGCATGTAAATATCTATATAAACGTCAATTCAACTTGTGCATGTAGATTTAGGACTTTAAATTTCAAATTTCTCATAAAATGGTCAAAGGTTGACTTTTCCGATCAAACCGAAGAATTTGACCTTCCATGAAAAAATTAAAATTTCGTTGAGTTCTGATCATTTTTTAGATCTAGTTTGTTCTAGACATTTGATTTTGGGGCAATAATATTTGGAGATCTCGAGACCAGTTTCAAAGATATTAAATAATGAAATTTTGAGAGTAGGACAAAGTTCGGGAAAAACATTAAATCGCCGGTTAACTTTTTACGGTTAAGTCAATTTGAGTACTTTTAATCAAATTGGACCTAATAAATTCAATTTCAATGCATTTTAGGCATCTTGGGGACAATTTCAACAATTAGGAACAATCATGAAAACCCGGCGGGTCCGGTCAACCTGATTGGCCCGAGCGAGCCCGGTGCAATGGGCTAACTCAAGCTAGAAATGAACCCAGCCCTTAAAGCCGCATGTGGGCCCATTGTAGCCCATTTGGCCGCCCACCACTCTCTTAAGGTACCGCGATGCCACTCTTTTAAGCTCCGTTCGTTTCACGAAAAATAACTTTCAAGAAAATGTTATTCCGATTTTCCGGTGTTTTGTTTCACATAAAATAAACTAATCATGAAAAATATTTTCCATCAATAAAAAAATACCTTTAAAAGTGAGGAAAATTTTTCCTCAAGAAAGCGGAAAACATTTTCCATTTCTTCTTTCATCTCACTTTCTTTCACAAAACAATTTTTTATTTTTAAAAAAATTGATTTTTTAATTATTTTTTAATAATTTCTGTTTCATTTCTTCTTCTTTTTTAATTTCTTCCTCAACCGATTGCCAGGCACAGGCGAGGCTCGGCCTTGCTCCCCCAAGGCTGGCGAGCTTGAGCCTTGCCTCGCCGGCCTCGAGTAAGGCCTTGCTAGATTCGGCGAGGCTTAAGGACGAAAAATCAAATCAGATTTTCCATACCAAACGACGGAAAATATTTTCCAGTTCATTTTCAGGTTTAAGTTCAACACCGGAAGATACTGTTATTATCTTGAAAAATAACTTTTGAAAAAATATTTTCTAGAAATGTCATATTTTCCGTGAAACGAACGGACCCTTTAGTTTACCAAAGAATCATTCAATAATCACAAAATAACCAAGCCATGTCATTAATCTATGTGCTCGCTAATCCTTTGTAATCATTGGCTAATAAATGGGATTAGAATGGAATATTCTCTCAATCCAGCAATAAGATTACACCTTGATCCCCAAGCAAAAATCTTAGTCATAGGATCAATTTACACATCTAATGGTGAAGATTAGACACAAAAACTATCTCCAAAATCCTCTCATAAATCCCTTGGCTGAACCTCACATGGAAGAACACTCTTCATTTTTCTCCAAATTTCATACAAGAACACAAAATCTCTCTCTCAATTTCCTCTCTCCCTCTCTCCCTCGAGTGTTGCCACACCTTTTCTTGGAGTTCCTCATGCAGGTGACGACCTGCAAAAAGGTAATGAAAAATAGTTTTTTGGTTCATTCTAACGGTACAAAGGGGATAATATTAGGGTGGTATTTGCACAATCTTGCATAGATCCGCACATTTGAATCACCCCTAAAAAGAAGAGAACAAATGTTGAGGAACAACAAAATTTCAACTTTGCCCGCGAATTGACTTGCACCTTTTAGGCCATACAGGGCATTAGTCTTTTCGTACTATTTGAGGCCATCCACATACAATAGACTTAGCCAAAACTATAATTCGTGCAAAAATGAAACTCACAATTGATCAAGATATGTCGCATATATCTCGAGGGACTTTTAGATATTCTTGAAGTACTGCGTTACTCAAAATTTGATATCGTTAGAGCTCGAAAGTTTCATTGAGCAGTTGATATTGTTAAAAGAAATAATAATAAAAAAATCGACACACTAGATCCATGAATTGATGAATTTGCAAGCATATGTTACAAGAAAGCTCTCATCCTCAATAAAAAGTTAGTTCAAAACAGAGACTACATATTTGAACTTCTATCCAAACAAGACTATCAAAAAGTCATCTTCTCATTTAGACCGAATGTCACCGCAAGTTTTTCTCTTGCAACATCTGTTGTCATCGTTTTACGGCGCTTGTCGAATGCCCACTGTTATGTGCACTATGATTTTACATTGGGTATGAATTTATGATTGGAGTCTACTTCTAGCTTGGACACAAAAGTTTACTTTAGACAGTATCCTTGTTTTTCCATTCCAAACTCAATTGCAAGGGGATAAATCCCTTACTTATGACAGGGTAAACTCTCCTAATGCAAAATCCCAAGACTGTAACCCCCTCATCACTAGAGCCACCCAATGCGGAGTCATATCAAAAAGGTTTTACGTGAAGAGACAACTTGATCATCACATATTCATAAAACAACTGTCGGGAAATCACGTCAGAATTGTGAGAATTTCCAAGCTCTAAAAGCAAAAAGCACAACGACCACGCAATTCATATGAAGACATCAAACACTGACTGTATAGACATACGTGTGTGTATTTGACTCACATGCTGACTAAGTTAACATGATATAAAATTAATCACATAAGCCCCTCTAAGCAATTGTTCTGCTGAAAATTGGCCGAACAATAGTCAAGCTAAAACACAGTTCTCATACTTTAAGTGAACAATTGCTTCATAGCCTATTCGAAACCTTAAAGTTTTAGCAAAATTGAGCCTTCAAATTCGACCAAGCAGTGGTTGATCTAGACATTTTTTCCTCGGCTATTCTCTTCTTTTCCTCAGCCTCTGCTACTTTCTTCTGCTCATCTTCATAGCCTGACTTCGCTTCTTCGGACTCGACCAGCAAGATCTTCCAGTCTGAGAGAAGCTTCTCCCTCCTAGACTTCACTTCCTCCTCTTCCTTGATGAGGTCATCCATTAACTGCTTATACAAGATGTGAGTGTCGTGGCACTTCTTCATAGCAGAGAATCTTTGATCCTTCTGTAGTTTATGCAGCTCAAACTCAGCATTGTCCTGCTCAAATGTTAAGAAGTCGGAAGTGAAATCATTGAAATTGGACCGAAATGTCTCAATTGCTATTTGTTGCTCCAACGTTAATCCAATTCTGGCTGAGCTTAAAGTTGTTAGTGCCTCAGATAGCCTCTCTTTCATATTCAATTTAAAGAGATCTGAAAGGCATTCCTTCAAGGACTGCCTAGCCTTCTCAACTTCTTCAAAGCTAGGAATTTCTGCCCTCAAGGCACCATCATGGCGGCACGAACTTGATCCTACACTAGCACCATTAGTCTCAGCAGCATCGATGAGTTCCTCCAGACCAGTAAAATAGGAGTCAAACATATCAGTTGGTCTAGCTGGCTGAATATCCACCGGAGGAATGACTGTTAAGATGCAAACTTCAGCTTTAATAACCAAAGTGTCATTTGCTATGAATCCCCGCGTAGGATTACGAAGCAAAGTCAATGGCAAGAAGTGTAGGAAACCCCAGTTACTGCTGCTCGCAGTGAAAACTTCTTGCGTCTCTGCAGAATTCAGGAGACAGGAGGACGAATTCAAAAACTTCTTTACTAAAGCACCAGAGCATGATATGTGGAAGAACAATTAGAGACCATCAAGAACTAGAATGTTGTATTGTATGCCAAACAAAATATTAGCAGCAGAAGAAGCAAACACCTCGCCATGATCAGCTTAAGCAACCAAATTCCTACAGAAGTCTATGAACTGACAATGCACAACATTTTTAAGACCACTAAGATATAACTATCTTCAACTCAAGTTCTTTTGTTTCATGAAAAATAAATGATTCGGATAACATTTTCCTAAAAATAATCGCTTGTATCAATTGAAATAATTAGTGAATGAAAATTCTTTCCATTATGGACAGCAATTTACGTCTAAACATTTTCTTATACTGTGAAAATATTGTTTCATTTTTTGAAAAATATTTTTCAAATTATTCATTTTCCGCTACAAATGCACCATTAAATTATCCATTTTCATTGTCCTATGAAAATGTTTAGATATAAATGTCGATGATGAAAATATTTTTTATTGACTAATTATTTTAAGCGACATAAGCGATTGTTTTTAGGAAAATGATTTCAAATCATCCATTTTTTGCGAAACAAACGGAATTGAGGCTTTTTTTCTTTATGCTGGACCAACAATTGGATCATACAGACGTATGTTAGAATCCCACCAGCTCTTGAGAGGTTTAACGAATGAAATATAGAAAAAATATTCCTTAGGCTCCGTTCGATTCACGGAAAACAAATTCTAGGAAAAAAATTTCTGAATTTTCCTGTGTTCATTTCATGGAAAATAATATACTCATGGAAAACATTTTCTACTAATGGAAAAAAGCAACTTCAAAAGTGAGGAAAATGTTTTCCGCTTCCATATCTCTTTCACCTCATTTTCTTTCAAATAACACGTTTTCCTTCTATTTTCTTTTTTTAATCGATTTTTAATATTTTTATTTTTATTTTTTTTTCTTTTTCTTCCTTTTTTTCTTCTTCTCTCTCAACTGGTGGATGACCGTGACCAGCCACAAGCGAGCTCGAGCCTTGCCACAGGCCGGCGTGGCTCGAGCTTGCTAGATTCCGACGAGGTTGAGCTCTCCCAAGGTCACCAAAGCCAGAGCCTCGCCGACGTTTGGCGACATCCGGGTGAGGTTCAAGCTCGCTTGTGGCCAATCACCAGCCAAGGAAGAAGAAAAAAAGAAAGAAAAGGAAAAAAATAAACAATTAAAAAACAACTAAAAATTTCAAATTTTTTGGTAATTTTCCCTTGAAAATCAATTGGATAATGAACATTAGAAAATATTTCCGGTTCATTTTTAAGTTTCAACTGAAACTTATTGTTATTTTCCTAGAAAATGGCTTCTTGGAAAAAAACATCACATTTTCCGCGAAAGGAACGGGAGCCTGATCTAAGTTCTTTTTCTTCTGCAGGTCACAACATCGATTTCTTAAATCTAGATGCACAATCAATCGGAGAGAAACCCTTCATACTAGATTAAAGAACAAGAGATTCCAAGAAGAATCAATCCAGTTCAAGAACGAACCTATTCCAAAACGGCTAACATTACTGATTTGATCGATCACGCTCAAGCTGAACTTGGCTTTCCTGGTCCACCCGACCGGCAACGTCCCAGAATCGGGGACGTCGAGGTACACCGCCAAATAGTTCGTCGAGCCATACCCTTTGGGGTATACCAGAATTCTCCTGCTCAGAAAGGACCGGACGACACAAGAATCGCTTGGCAACACGACGAACATGCGATCCTCAAGAAACAACAGCAGAAAGTAGGAAGAAGGAAATGTAAAAGTGAGAAATTTTGAAGTACCATTGACACCCAGAAACTGTGAATGCTTCAGAATAAAGCCTCAGCGCAATCAGCTTAGTGAAGTTACTGATCTTCCACGTGAATTCTCCCCGATTAACATCGTTTTGCGCATACATCTCCTTTTATTGGGCTGCTGCTTCTGCACGATCAGCTTTCGCGGACCACGAAGCCAATGAGTTACTATCTCTCGATCTCACGAGTTTTGTTCGAGTAAAAAAATCCTGAAACGACACTTTAATGCGACTCTAGAAAGATAGTAAGATAAGAACAAAACAAAAAGGAGAATGTATCTAAGATAATGAGATAATCAAATGCACAATCGAATGGAGATATGGAGAATCTCATGGATATATGCGGAATCACAAGTGATATGAAAAATCAAGATATATATCATAAGTATCTTTAATCCAGGAGATATCATAATTATCTCTAACAGAGTTAGCAGGTTTAAATTGAGACTAATCGTGCCCGAGTCAATTTTTGTGTCAACTACAAGGCACGATTAATGATTGGCGCGTTCGTGTTCAACCCAATAGACACGAAATTGACCTGTTAAAATGAACTGGTTGGTATTGATACAACATGTGTGTGACCTGTTGAGACATGATTAATTAAAAGATTATTCGTACATATTCTTCACTATTAACATTTTAAAATTATGATATTGCATTGGCTATGACCATGTTTTTCAATTTGATTTGATGATATTTTGTTGACGGATTATTGCAATTTCTAAATAGATTTTATGGAAAGTTTAGGATATTCCATGTCACGTTGGTAGGTTGATTTCATGTGAGTGAGTAAATTTCATGTCATAGCGAGTCATGTACTCGTCAACCAATATTTAAGCATGTTACCGCTGTGTCCACCAGTTAATATTCGGGTCAAATTAGTGTCAAGTAGATTGACACGATAAACAGATTGTATTGTGTTCGAGCAGACCTGCTTTGTAGTATAACCTTATGTCGACACAACACAAACATGACCCATGAACACGAATTGCCACCCTAGTTCTATTAGCATTCCTTTCTCTATCTCTTTTTTTATTTTGGTATGGAATTTGTACGGCATTCCCTTTGTTTAGGTTTTCATGCAAGAAATATTAGTGCTTTGTCAGTGAAATACACATAGGTACATTAGATGGTGTTTACTGCCTGACATGCTTCAGCATTAGGAGGTCATTCTAGTGTGGAGGGCACTTATCAAAGGGTTAAGCAACTGTTCTATTGGCCAGGGATGAAACATGATGTGGTGGAATATGTCATGACCTATAATTTGGGCCAAAGGAATAAAGGGGAACAAACTCCTAACCCTGGACTCTTGCAAGCACTGGACATTCCTGCTCAGGGGGGGACTAATGTCACCACGGATTTCATTGAAGTCTTGCCTAAATCATCTAATGGGAAGGATACTGTGTTTATTGTGGTGGATCGACATGCCAACTATGCTCCCTTTGGGCTTGTTTCATCCTTTTACAGCACTAGAAGTAGCCAAGTTGTTCCTCGACAACATTTATAAGTTGCATGGGCTTAGGCATTGTAATTGGAAGAGACAAAGATATTTACTTTTAGTTTGGCAAGAAACCTTCAAGCCAATGGGAACACAGTTGCATCTATCGATAGCATATAACCCCTGCCAAATGGGCAAATCGAGAGACTGAATTGGTGTTTGGAGACTTACTTGAGGTGTGTGCGCTTTACTCAGCCAAACAGACGGGATCGATGGTTATCCCTGGCTTGATGGTGGTACAATAACACCTATGGCACTTGCATCCTTACAACTACATTTCAGACTTTGTATGGTTCTTCACCAACAACTCTGGGGCCTGAAATTCATGTTGTCACCTGTCAAAGCAGTAAATCAGCTCCTAAAAGAAAACTTGACTAAGCCTCAGAGTCGAATGAAGCAGTATGCAGATAAGAAAAGGGTGGAGAGGTCTTTGGTAGAAGGGGACATGGTATACTTAAGGCTACAAACCTACAAGCAGAGATCCCAACAATCTGACAAGCTCATTCCTAAGTACTGTGGCCCTTTTCCAGTTGAGAGAATAGTGGGAAAGGTTGCGTATCTCCTGACTTTGCCAGCAACGGCTCAAATTCATCATCTATTCCACGTCTCTGTTGAAAAAGCACATTGGACATAAGGAAGTGAGTAGTACAAGCTGGTGTTCAGCTGCTAATCCAATGGTTGAACCTGGATTATGACCAACAATTTCCAGAGTTTATTTCTCAGTTCAAGGGGAGGGGAGCTGTACATACTCAGCTGCTGGAATGATGGGCCGATGGGCTCCGTGGATTGAGAAGGCCCTTTGGCATTATAATTGCTGCAATCCCTATTTCAATTCTATTTTCCTTCATTTCCAATTTTGCTAATTTCTGTAGGCAATCATATATTTCTTGCTTTCGTATATGTAATTGCGTTATGGAATGAAATAATGCTCTTGATTTCTCAATTTCCTCTCTTCTCCTCTTCTCTACATTTCTCTCTGCATTCACTTTTTCTTTTTTAATCTCTTAAGTCCTCACATTTTGTGGTTTAGGGCTTTTGATTGTTCAACGGAATAGGACTGATTTTTAGGGCTTCTGATTTTTCAGGCTTATAGTTCTAGTGCTGGCGGGCTTTTGTCAATGAACTTTTCCTAACACATAATATGTTCAAATAAAACCAATATGGAGTGATGAAAAGTTAAAACGCTACCAAAAATGTATATGTACTGACAACCAAATTAGCATAGGCTTAAATTATGCCGCTATAGTAATTGTAGTAGCAATAGACTTTGACAACCGTCACACGGCCGACAATGGTTACACTATCACGTTAGTGGTTTCCGACGAAAATTTACTGGAATGAATGTATTGGAATTTTGTGCAAATGTTTATGACTAAATATGACAAAATCGAAAAGTTTAGGACTTAATTGACATCCATACATTAAATTTAGGATTAATTGGGTAATTTTCTCATTGGAAGGTATGTTTCTTTCTTTTTTCCCTCATTCTTTTCTGAAATGAAATATTCTTTTTTTAGCTTTTGAGGTCTATTTTAAAAGGAAATATATATGTTCATTTGGAAATCTGAAAACTTGGCGGGCTTGGCCTTGGGGTATCCTACCTTTGCTAAGACAAATAGTTGTGGACTCTTTTTCTAGCAATATAGGATCAATCTATAAGGAGGATGTATTACTTGGTCTTCTATATCCTAATTTTATCATAAACTATTCTCTCATGATTTGTTTCTAAGATAGATGTGCATGATGACCTAAAAGGTATTTTTCCTTCATTCAATTATGCAACGTTCAATTTGTCATCTTTTTACTCTTATTAAACGGGAAAATTACAAAAAAAGTCATTTATCTATTGTAATTGTGTCAATTCAATTCTAAAACCTTTTTTTTTTTGCCAATCAAATCATAAACCTTTTGCATTTGTACAAATTCAATCTATAAGGCAAATTTTGGCTGTAAATCGTTGATATCGATGCCAGCTCTTATTTGGCGCAGCCAGCGCTGACGTTGACAATTTTTGATAATATTTAATAATTTTTTGAATTTTATTTATTTATTCTTTCTCTTTCTTTTTTTTTTCTTCTTCCTCTTGCCGATCGCAGGACCTCGGCTATTCCCTATTTTGATCAAGTTGATCAGAATGAAATCAAGTGGGGAGAATTTCACAATCTGACTATTCCCATTCCATAAAAAGCATGGAAGTAAACTTTGTAATATAGAGAGAAGCATGAGGGATGAGATATGAATTGACACAACTTGATCGTGCGAGTGGTGTCAGAGACTTTGAGCTAGAAATGTATTGATGAAAGGAATATCATGCAAAAAATGTCCCAAGGCATGGCTCGCCACTCGTGCATAAATTGTTAGGAGTTTATGCCACTCTCTTGATGATGGTTATGGTAGGCTGAAATCGGTTGTTGTGTTGAATCGAGATGCATGTCTCGCTCGGGACAGGAGATGTCTGAATTAAAAGGGAGACATGGTACATTTGATCATAATGATGTATGCCATAATACAAGCCATGATAATGATCCTTAGAAGCGAAGGTTGGCTTGGTGAATCAGCTCACCAGGCGCCGCATATATGGTCCTATGACTGAGACCAATCGGCCCAGACCAAGACACTTGGCTCTAGAGGGGAAGCGCTACATATCCCTTAACTTATTCGAATTATCTAAAATAGGATTTCACCTACTGATTCACTCGCTTGAAATCGTTCCTTTCATGACTTATTTGTATATTCATTGTTTTGTTTCGAATTCATAAGCAATCTTCTTTCCTTTGTTTTTCTCTTTCTCTCTCCCCCCTTTGTTTGAACATCACATTCCATTCTTCAAAAAAGATCCATTCGATGCTAAATAATAATTTTCTACTTTTGAATTTCATCTTTAACATTCAAATATAAATTAAATAACGAATAAATATTGAAAAATAGATATATGATTTTAAATATAGAATTTTTATTGTTTGTGGGTTCTTATTTCCCACTTTCAAATCCTCATAATATGAAAGAGCATATCTCTCAGAGAGAGCCTAGCCATGGTTATTAAAGAAAATTCTTACCTGTTAAGGGCTTCCAAATAATCACAAAAGTATTGTGTGAGAATTCCTTCTATCACTCTTTCCTCATTCTCTAAAACTCGTAACACATGATCGTTCCATTTCGATTGTCCAGGATCAACACTCAAAGCATCTACTTTTCCTTAGTTGTACAATTTTACAAGCATATTTTACAATAAAATTCTCATCCTCCTTGCAAGTCCTCACATAAGAAAAGTTATTTTAACATAGACTCCATATTTGAACTTCGACCCAAACAAGGCTATCGAATAATTATCTTCTCATTTAGACGGAATGTCACAACAAGTTATTTTTCTTTCACATCTGTTTTAATCATTTTACGGCTCTTGTCGAATGCCACTGCTGTGTGTTGTATGATGTCACATTGGATACGAGTTTACGACTAATTGAGAGTGAGATTGCATTGTAGGTCATTTCATCATCCCCGTTAAACAAAGTAAAAGTTACAAAGACAATTGAGAGCTGGATTGCATTTGATTATGCAGTTCCAAACTCCAAAGTTCCTAACCCACCCATTGTTTTGTGCTGAAAAACATGATGAAAATCCACGTAGCAAAAAGCCCTTTGCCAGATAAATAGGGATATTACATTTCTAGTTCTCACGACCAAAACCTAATACAGCATCAAATATTTTTCATCTGTAATTAACGATAACCTCCCCAACACAAGAGCCACTTGTTTGTGGCTCTCTCCTTGTGAGAACACTCCTAACCATAAGACAGTATCCTTGTTTTCGTCATTCCAAACTTAATTGCAAGGGGAAATATCCCTTACTTAGGACAGGGTTTACTCTCCTAATACCGATCCCCAAGACTACATGTGGAAACAGGAACACCCTTATCACTGGAGTCACCCAATGCGGAGTCATATCAAGAAGGTTTTATGTGAAGAACAACACCATCATCGCATATTGACAGAACAACACGTAGGAAAGTTCCACATCAGAATTGTGAAAATTTCCAAGCTCCAAGAGCAAAAAGCGCTACGACCACACAATTCACTTGAAGACACCAAAAACTGATTCTAAAGATATCCATGTGTAAGTATGTATTTGACCCACATGCTGACTAAACTAACATGATATTGGATCGACCACAGAAGCCCCTCTAAACAATTGTTCCGCTGAAAATTGGCCAAAAAAGTGGTCAATCTAAAAGCCAGTTTTCATTCTTCCAGCGAACAATTACCTCATAGCCCATTTGAAACCATAAAGTTTTAACAGAATTGAGCCTTCAAATTTGACCAAGCAGTGATTGATCTAGACATTCTTTCCTCGGTTATTCTCTTTCTTTTCTTAGTCTCTGCTACTTTCTTCTGCTCATCTTTATAGACCGACTTCACTTCTTCGGACTCGACCAGCAAGATCTCCCAATCCGAGAGGAGCTTGTCCCTCCTAGACTTTACTTCCTCCATCTTTCTCTTGAGCTCTTCCTCTTCCTCGGCGAGGTCATCCATTGACTGCTTATACAAGATGTGAGTCTCATGGCTCTTCTTCATAACAGAGAACATTTGATCCCTTTGTAGTTTATGCAGCTCAAACTCAGCATTGTCCTGCTCAAATGTTAAGAAGTCAGAAGTGAAATCATTGAAATTGGCCTGAAATGTCTCAATGGCTATTTGTTGCTCTGACGATAATCCAGTTCTGGCTGAGCTTAAAGTTGATAGTGCCTCAGATAGCCTCTCTTTCATATTCAATTTAAAGAGATCCGAAAGGCATTCCTTCAAAGACTGCTTAGCCTTCTCAATTTCTTCTAAGCTAGGAATTTCAGCCGTCAAAGCACCATCTTGGTTGCACGAAGTTGATCCTACAGTAACACCATTAGTCTCAGCAGCATTGACGAATTCCTCCAGACTGGTAAAATAAGAGTCAAACTTATCAGTTGGTCTAGCTGGCTGAATATTCACCGGAGGAGTAACTGTTAAGACGCATACTTCGGCTTTAATCACGAACGTGTCATTTTCTAGGTATCCCCCAGTACAATTATGAAGCTTAGTCAATGGAATGAAACTTGTGAAACCCCAGTTTCTCTCTCTTTCAGTGAAATCATTGTGCCCCTCTGCAGAATTCAGGAGACAGTGTGAAGAATTCAAAAACTTATTTACAACACCAGAGCATGACATGTGGAAGAAACATTGGAGACCATCAAGAACTAAAATTTTGTATTGTTCGTCAAGCAAAATATTAGCAACAGAAGAAGCAAACACCTCCCCATGATCAGCTTAAGCAACCAAATTCATACAAAATTGAAACTGACAATGCGCAACATTTTTAAGACCTCCAAACGTAACCATCCTGTAACTTAAACTGTGGCTCCTCCCTTTTTTCTGGACCAACATATGATCATATTAGATGCAGTCAAGCCCCAACTCCTCCATCCACTGGACCAGTTGCTTAGCTAAATTTCTTAATCGGTAACCTCAGGTTGTTGTATGAGCATATTATAAGCTCACCCGCCATTGAGAGTTTTAACGAATGAGATACAGAAAAGCTATTTCTTTTATCATCTAAAGTCTTCTTCTTGTTCTTGTCATAACACCGATTTCTTTTAAAATCTAGATGCACAATCAATCAGAGAGAAACCTATCATAGACTCAGATTAAAAAGAAGAGATTCCAAGAAAAACCAATCCAATTCAAGAACAAACCTTTTCTAATAGAGCGAGCATTATTGGTTTGATCGATCACACTCAAGCTGAACTTGGCGTTTCTGGTCCACCCGTTTGGCAACGTCGTAGAATCAGGGACATCGAGGTACAGCGACAAATGGTTCGTGGCAGCCCCCTTGGGGTATAACAGAATTCTCCTGCTCAAAAAGGACGCAAGAATCACTTGGCAACACGATGAACATGCAGTCATCAAGAAGCAACGCAAAAATAGAAAAATAAAAAATTTTGAAATACCATTTACAACCAGAAACTGTAAATGCTTCAGAGTAAAGCTTTTTTGCATCCTGCTCAGTGAAGTAGCTGATTTTCCACGTGAATTCTCCCCGACTAACATCATCGTGTGCATCCATTCTTTTTTTATTGGACTGCTAATTCTGCATGATCAACTTTCGCAAACAACACGGATGTTGTTCTTAGCCGACACTCTAGTTGCAAAGAAGGAGGAGGAGGAGGAGATGGAGGAGAGCTTCTTACATTACAGGAGTTGGGAAATTTATGAGGTACTCCCCATGAGTACTTGTGTCAAACGTTGTTGACCCTTCGACTTCAAGGTGATGATGGTACGATGGAAGTCTCTGGATTTGATAGGAGGAGGAATGTGGGGAATAGGAAAAGACGAGCACAAAACGAGACACCTTCCCCGCGAAGTTAATGAAGACAAATCGAGAGTGGTTTATTCAGGTTCAGAGGGAAAAAGGCGTATCATTCGCACTTCCGGTTGGCATATTGAAAGCCAATGAGTTTTATTTGAGTGAAAATTTCTGACGCGACACTTTAATACGATACCAAAAAATTCCAAGATAAAAATAAAGCGGAAAAAATAATTATGTAATATCTATGTATTTTTGCATGTCTCGTGATGATGAGTACATGAATAGGCTTTGTTAGAATACCATATAAGTAACAATATAATCGATCAAGCATATGTACAATCGAAAGGGGAGATGGAAAATATCTGCGATATATGCATGATGGCTAGAGATATTCTTTGTATTCTTACGAGTGTGATTGGTAAAATACCAACACCTATTGAATCTATTTGGAAATTATCTTCTCATTTAGACCAAATGTCGGCAGTGATTGTGGAATGCGCTGTATGTGTCCGTACTATCTAGTACCTGATCCTGACCAACAGAATACCCATGGATCAGCTAAGGACATGATGAAACTGACTGCAGCAAGTACCTTCGGATAGAACATTTTATATGTTCTCGCAACAAAAACCTGAAGTGTCTTTCATTGCTATTTGTCTGGACACATCAAAGAATCAATGGTTTTTCTTCTGCAATAACCGATGAACTCCCCAACACTGGAGCCCCTTTTGCGAGAAAACTTCGAACCATTAGATGGTATCCCTCATTTTTAATCATTCCATAGCTTCTGCTGCATCAGCTGCCGACAGAGGAACACTCATATCACTTGGGCAACCCACTACGGGGCCATATCTCAAGAGGGTTCTACATCAACTCGAACATGACATATTGACAGAAGAACAGTTAGGAAAGCACATCGGGACCGTGAGGATTCCCAAGGTCGTCCATGAGCGAAAAGCGCGATGACCATGCAATTTTTATAATCAAAGATCGTCAGAAGCCAACTACATTGGCATGCATATGTAAGTATACATTCGACCAGAATGCAGACTAAAGTAGCATGAGCCCCTCTTAGTAATAGTGATGCCTAGACACGGTTTCGTATACCTGTGAACAATCGCCTCACAGCCTGTTAGAAAGCTAAAAGGTTCAACAAAATACTTTCAATTTGGACCATACACTGGTTGATCTCGACGTTTCCTCGGCTATTCTCTTCTTTTCCTGAGAGTCTGCTACTGTCTTCTGCTCCTCTTTGTATCCAACTTCGCTTCGTCGGACTTGACCAAAAATAATTAGATTTATTTAGATTAATTACAAACTTGACGTAGTATACAAATAAGATTCTACTTTTCATCTCTGTGCTTTCATGCTTTTTCAAACCAATTCCCTGTATTTTCACAAATTTCCTGATCAAGTTGCACCAGCTTCGAATGTAGCCAAATTCAGTTGACGTGGTAAACTTTTCCAATCACGTCCAAATAGTGTTTCGACGACTACATTAGCTAGATTTAGTCAGATTCAGTGTCGGAGAGACTCGCGTAGTAAATTTGTGAAAGTAGAAATAATTGATTAGACATATTAATGATTAGAGCAAAAGTAAAATACTTAGGCAAAAAGTAGAATTTCCTTTATTATATGTTCAATGGACACAAATCTAGTGTTAAATTGGATGATTAATATCTGATAATTAATAAATCATGGTGCAATCTATCAATTTTAGTATTTTATATTTAAAAAAGGTGGGACTTTCTGGTGCAACATTTGCTGGCTAACTCAATCAATTATCATATCAAATCTAGTAATCTATTAACATGGAAGAAGACTTTCCCAGGAGATGGAGGCCTTTTCTTGGTGTATAGCCAAGAAATTTAGAAATTTCTATGTTAATAAACATCTTTTTATTTCCAGTATTATTTATACCTCAGCAAAACATTCTACCAAATAACGTAACCAATGAGATACAGCTAACCTAAATGCAAAAAAACAAGAGGCCTTGAATTTTTCACTCTTTAATCAATAAATTCTAACGAAAATGGGAGAACTGTGTCATTTAATATTCGGTTATACATCCATTTTCAATCATCTTTTAGCACATATATTGGTGAACATTACTGCTTTAATACAATGAGTTGATCCAATGACTTCGAAACGCATTAAAATAAGAGAGCATGTACAATAATTTTTTTTTGGTCAAATAGCATATACAATAATTTGACTAGATGAATCTGATACCAATGAAACAGAGCACTCTGTTCTGAAGTTCCAAAACACTGAACACCCAAAGAAACAGAGCACTCTGTTCCCAAGTTCCAAGAGCCAAAAATTACAATCGCCACGCAATTCATCTAAAGATAATTAGAAACTGACAATTAATGCAGATATTTGGCCCAATATCCTGTTCGAATTAACATAATCTGGCAATAATTTTGCCAAAACACAGTTTCATATACTTGAAAACAAATGACCGCTAAACTAACACAGTTTTAGCGGTCATAGCCCGACTTCGCTTCTTCCAACACGACTAACAAAATCTCCCAGTCTGAGAGGAGCTCGTCCTTCCTGCACTTCACTTTCTCCATCTTTCTTGTGAGCTCTCTCTCTTCCTTGGTGATGTCCTCCATCAACTGCTTATACAAGGTGTGTCTTTCACGGCCCTACTATTAAATCCTCTTGATGTAAATTAACGAATTTGATCTCTCGGAAAGAGCCGAGCCATGGTCGTTAAAGAAAATTCTTACCTGTCAAGGGCTTCCAAATAATAAAAAAGGTCTTGTGTGAGAATTCCTTGTTTCATTCTTTATTCATTCTTCAAAACTCGTAAGACATGATGGTTTCATTTTAATTGCCCAGGATCATCATTCAAACCATCTACTTTTCTTAGTCGTACAATTTTACAAGCATATGTTATAAGAAAGTTCTCATCCTTTTTAAAAGTTCTCCTCATAATTAAAGTTCATTCAAAATCGACTCCAGATTGTCATCAGTTTACGGCGCTGGTCGAATGCTACTGTTATGTGTTCTATGATTTTACATTGGGTACGAATTTATGACTCGAATCTACTTCTAGCTCGGACACAATAGTTTACTTTGGCCAAAACTACTAAGTAAGAATAAAAGGCCCCATGGAACAAGATTGTGTTTTAGGTCATTCATTATCCTCGTTAAGCAAAGTAAATACCGCCCGATGAAATGAGAGCTCAATTGCATTTGATTATGCAGTTCCAAACTACAAAGTTCCTAACCCAACGATTGTGTTGTGCCCAAAAACACCAAAAAGAAAAACCATGGATCAGCTAAGGACATGATGAAAATCCATGTCGTAAAAGCCCCTTTTCCAGAGAACTATGGATATAGCATTATGTTCTGTACCTCACAACCAAAACCTACAATGTCTTTTTTTTTTTTTTTGGTAAGGGAAAAAAACCTACAATGTCTTTCATTGCTATTTGTTTGGAGAAATTGAATGCGTCAATTGTTTTTCTTCTGTAATTACCGATAACATCCCGGACACTAGAGCACCTTGTTTGTGGCTCTCTCCTTGTATTATGAACACTCCTAACCATCAGTTAGTATCCTTATTTTGTGATTCCAAACTCAATTGCAAGGGGACCATCCCTTACTTAGGACAGGGTAAACTCTCCTAATACAAATCCCCGAGACTGTAATGAAATCCATAGGCTCCGCCTCATGAGATCTGGATTATGGGACATCCTAATCACTAGAACCACCCCATGTGGAGTCATATCAAGAAGGTTTTATGTGAACAGTTATATCATCACATATTGACAGAACAACAGTCAGGAAATTGCATCAGAATTGTGAGAATATCCAAGCTCAAAGAGCAAAGAGCACGATGACGACACAATTCATGTAAAGACATCGAGAACTGACCCACATGCTGACTAAACTAACATGATATAGGATCAACCACATAACCCACTCTAAGCAATTGTTCTGCCAAAAATTGACCTACAAATAGTCAAGCTAAAACTCAGTTTCCATACTTAAGTGAATAATTGCTCATAGCCTATTTGTAACCTTAAAGTTTTAACAGAATTGGGCCTTCAAATTTGACCAAGCAGTGGTTGATCTAGACATTCTTTCCTCAGCTATTCTCTTCTTTTCCTCAGCCTCTGCTACTTTCTTCTGCTCATCTTTATAGCCAGACTTCGCTTCTTCAGACTCGACCAGCAAGATCTCCCAGTCTGAGAGAAGCTTGTCCCTCCTAGACTTCACTTCCCCCATCTTTTTCTTGAGCTCTTCCTCTTCCTTGGCGAGGTCATCCATTAACTGCTTATACAAGATGTGAGTCTCCTGGCTCTTCTTCATAGCAGAGAACCTTTGATCCTTTTGTAGTTTATGCAGCTCAAACTCAGCATTGTCCTGCTCAAATGCTAAGAAGTCGGAAGTGAAATCATTGAAATTGGCCTGAAATGTCTCAATTGCTATTTGTTGCTCTGACGATAATCCAGTTCTGGCTGATCTTAAAGTTGATAGTGCCTCAGATAGCCTCTCTTTCATATTCAATTTAAAGAGATCTGACAGGCATTCCTTCAAAGACTGCTTAGCCTTCTCAACTTCTTCTAAGCTAGGAACTTCAGCCGTCAAAGCACCATCTTGGTGGCGCGAAGTTGATCCTACATTAAGACCATTAGTCTCAGCAGCATTGACGAATTCCTCCAGACCAGTAAAATAGGAGTCAAACTTATCAGTTGGTCTAACTGGCTGAATGTTCACTGGAGGAGTAACTGTTAAGACGCAAACTTCGGCTTTAATCACCAAAGCGTCATTTGCTAGGTATCCCCCAGTATGATTATGAAGCTCAGTCAATGGAATGAAACTTGTGAAGCCCCAGTCTCTCACTCTTGCAGTGAAATCATGTTGCGTTTCTGCAGAATTCAGTAGACCGGGTGACGAATTCAAGAACTTCTTCACAAGCACGATATGTGCAAGAAACATTGGAGACCATCAAAAACTAGAATGTTGTGCTGTACGTCAAGAAAAATATTAGCAACACATAAGCAAACACCTCCCCATGATCAGCTTAAGCAACCGGATTCACACAAAGCTGGATAAAACTGACAATGCACAACATTTTTAAG